CCCCAGATGCCACTGAAAATGCTTTCAGGAAGGTCACAAATTAACTAATTTTCAAAAGGAATGTGTATTTTTTAGTCTTTATCGTATAACATCTCTCATAACAGTTGACACTATTGACCACTGTCGTTTTTTCGGTGCTACAACACACTCTTAGATTTCCTTTGACCTTACCTCTCTGTTCATTCTTTTCAGTCTGAGTTGCTAACTCGTATCTTTGTCCACATCGACTTGCCAGCATTCCATAAAGCTCTCTCTGGCCCCATCTTCACTTTGCATTGCTTCCTGAGCCATCTCTTCCCCTCACTTGGCTTCTGCTTCACCCTGCTTTGGGGGGATTTCCAAATCTGTGTCTCTCTTAATAAACTACTAAAATAATCCTATCCCTCTGTTTCTGGTCAGGTTTTGTTCATTCTGTCTTACACAGGGCTAAGAAAAGGACTGTTCTAAAATACATATATAATATTGTCATTCCCGCTTATAAAACTTTCAGTGACTCCTTGTCACCTACATGGTAAAATCTAAATTTTACCTCCATGGCCTACCTCTATAGTGTATCCGAAATCCACTCCCTACCCTGCACTTTCTGCTTAATCACACTAAATTCTTTACTCTTGCATGATTATACTGCACTGTTCCTTGGCATATCTCCATAGCTTTGCAGATGCTGTTCCTTTTGCATGGAATGCCTCTCCCATCTTTGTTAGCATAGTGAGCTTTATGTATTCTTGAAGATCGCCTTAAGCAACATCTGTGTGAAGATCATCTGAGGTAGAGTTCATCATTCTCTGCTTTGTACCATTGTTACTTATCTCTGTTAATACTTTTGACATTTGCTATGTTGTAACTTTTTGTTTATCAAACTTTTATTCTAAACATTGAGTTTCTTTAGGTCAGAAATCTTGTCTTCATTTTTGGGTCCCCAGTGTTTCAACAAAGTACCTTACAGATAGTAGGTACCCCATAAATGTTTAATGGAAGGCCAAATATTTGTGTTGTCTATGAATTCAGTATGGTGAATACACTGTCTTGTGGACTTCTCCATACAAAGGAATAATTGTAGGATACTGTGGTAAGCACCATATGAGAGGAATGTGCCAGGTACTGCAGCAACCTGAAGTGTGATTGGTTGGTGTGGAGAAAGTCAGAGAAAGTCTTTACCTAAGAGAACAGAGGAGTGGGAAGCAGCGTTGGTATGTACAGAAAAGAGACTAGTTCAAAGTGTGAGGAACCCACAATGCACAGGAGTAATAGGAGATGAATTTGGGAAAGAAGGCAGGTGCGACAAAATGAAGATTCCTTTAGGCCCTGTTTTAGAACTTGAGCTTTAGCCTTTGGGGGAGATTTTAGAGGTTTTATCCAGGAAGGTGGTAACATCATATTTTTTGCTTTGCAAAGGTATAACAGCAGGACTTTCCTGGCGGTCCAGTAGTTAAAACTCCGTGCTCCCAATGCAGGGGACACGGGTTCAATCCCTGGTTGGGGAACTAAGATCCCACATGCTTTGCAGCGTGGCCAAATAAAATAAAATTAAAAAAAAAAAAAGAATATCAAAGATGTAACAGGCAGTTGTGTGGAACCAGGAATGGAGGGGTGTGAGACTGGAAGCAGGAAGACTAGTTAGAGGAAGCTTCTAGTATAGGATTTCAAAGAGTCACAGCATTTAACTGAATGGAAAATGATTGTGAATCCTTCTCTGTGTAACAGAGAAGGGGGAATGGTTTCTGGGTAGAATCTGGCTCTGCCATTCTTTCTCCATAGTAAAAGAGCAAAACCCCTTTTTTTGGTTTTCATGGTAGAGTATGATAAAACCCACGTCTACATAAGCAATAATGCCATTACTACCGGCGCAGTTCTGACTTTGCAGTGTGCTGCTGTGGTTGCTTTCCTCTGTTCATAGTGCCTTCTAGCATCTTGATAAAATAATGGTGAAATATTTCTTGCAACTTTCTGACTGAATGCTGTTTTGTTCATTTCTGCGGCAGTTTCATCTAATTGCATGGATGAGTACTGTGACAAAGAACAAATATATTTGTGTTTCTTTTTTTTTAAGGACCACTCAGAAGATCTTTTGTTTGCCTTAGCAACTCATCTTAACATACAAATTCAGTCCATTTTCCTCTTACTACCTTCACAATATCAAACAGGATGTTATACAGTATATATGAAAATAGACTAAAAAGTAACTAAAAACACTCCACCAAATAATATAAATCAGAACTTCACAAAGAAAATGCCTCTCACTGTGTGGATTTTGTAGTCCATTCGTCTCCTCTTCCCCAACCCCCATTTTTAAGTATTTTATCTCATTAGCAAATGTTCATTTGATTTTTAAACTATTGGCTATAGCCTTGTCTACTATACTGAAAGCAAGGTATGTCTGAAACAGTCTTTGTAACCCAAGCTGTCACAGAGTTGACACAGAATGTTTGTTCCAGTGAATGAGCAGTAAGCACTATTTTCATAAAAGTGCTAGAGATTTTTACTATTGACTAGCTTCCAGGAGGATTTTCTGCATAAGAAAGCAGGTTATTTAGTGTTCTGTTGACTTCTTTTTAACCTATTTTGGCCTTTCATAAACTGTCTTCTTAAGCTGTTTTAATGTCTGGCCACTGTACGTGGTTATTTACATTTTGTGTCTTCTTACTGTTATTTTTAAAGTATATTTATTTAAACCATTTATTTATATCATCTCAGTTTAGACTTTCACATTTTCAGTGAATATTTCTTTTCTGGAAGTGCTAAACATCATATTTGTTAAAAAAATAAACCTTATCCAAAAACTTAGTGAGAGTATTATTGTCATGTGGGTTCAGATATATGATCCTTCAGCCTCAGTGACTTTGTATCTGACCATGTGGTTAAGGTCATGAATATTAAGAATATCTGTATATACTGGATATTCACTTCCCCTAATAACCCATCAAGAATCCATTAATTTATGTAAAATCACTCCATCTTGTGGAGGCAAGAGGGAGCATATCAGATTTATACAGAGTTTTCAGATTACACCACCATGATCCCTCATTAAATTCTAATATGACTCTACCCAGCACCCATTGAGAATTATTACCAAAGAGACCATGGTTACCAGTAGATTTTAGTGTAGAAAACAGTTAAAAGTGACTAGTGTAAAACTTTATTTAGTCTACTTGTATTATTAATCTGTATTTCCTTTTGCACAAATTTCACTAGTTTGCTGTGTCCTTTGAAAGCAGGACTTCCTTTTATTTGCCCCCAAATTACCTATTTTCAGTGTCAAGGGAGGAGGTACCCTTTTGTTCAAGTATTTGAAAATTTAATGAACAACTCTATCCTGGACTGTTCATCCTACATCCTATCCATGCCCTTCATGGTTTCATACTCATTATATATATCCCCTTTCCTTAACCACTTAGTTCCTTATCCACTGCCCCTTTCAGGTCCCCAAAGTCATTTTAATTGCCCTCTTCTGAATCTTCTCCAGCTTTATTTTTTCTTTTTTGAGGTAAGTTATATGAATTACAGTAGTATTTCAGATGTAGATTTTACTAACGCTTTATATGTGAATAAAATATATAGTGTTATGTTTTGTTTCCTACAGTTGTCTTTAGAATGACATTTTATTGAAAGCCTTAAGTAAATTTTGCCATTTTTTATGTTTTGATTGAATAGTGTTCACCTTGAAACTGTACCTGAAGAAAAGAGTTTCTAAATAAAGCTGCTAAATATTCCTTAGTATTTTCCTTAAAGGTACTTAGAAATCAAAAAAATTCCTACAATTCAGGGTTCCCCTTACATTGATGAACTGATGACAAGTTAATACTTACACAGGACCTGCACCAAGTGCTTCACTGGGCTTTTTTTTTCTTGTTGTTAAGATAAGTCTAAAATGATCATCTAAAATGATCCCTAAAGGACTTCCCTGGTGGTCCAGTGGTAAAGAATCTGTCTTACAATGCAGGGGACGCTGGTTCGATCCCTGGTCAAGGAACCAAGATCCCACATGCTGCAGGGCAACTAAGCCCATGTGTCACAACTACTGAGCTCACGTGCCTCAACTAGAGCCTGCGTGCCGCAAAACTACAGAGCCCACACGCTCTGGAACCCGTGTGCCACAACTACAGAGCTGACGCACCATGGAGCCTGTGCGCCACAACTAGAGAAGAGAAAACCCACATGCCACAACTAGAGAGAAGCCCGCGCGCCGCAACAAAAGATCCCACAGGCCTCAACGAAGATCCCGCGTGCCGCAACTAAGACCCACGCAGCCAAACATAAATAAATAAATAAATCTTTAAAAAATAAAATAATCGTTTTACATATTACTAGGGGAAAAAACACATTTAGTTTGTACCAGCTACTTTCCTAAGCACCTTGCGTGTATTAACCAGTGAGGCAGATATTATTCTAATTGTCTGTATCTGAAAACTGGAGTAAAGAGCCTGCTAGTAAGTGATAGAGCCATTATTAAGGTCCAGCAATTCCTGGCCTGCCTTTCAGTGGGTATAATGTGCTTACATATTGTTGCTGACTTCTTTGAAAAAGGAGTAACTTAGCCTATCCTATTTGCTAATATCCTTAGGTTTTCTTATTTCTTATTCTCTTTCCCTCTAATTCCTATAAAAGGAATAAGAAAGATTTACATTATGTGCTATATTGGTAAAATGTCAGTCTGGCTTTCATTAACTTTCTAATCATCATTTTTCTGAAACTGAATAAAGAAATCAAATTTGTGATCAAAAACTTAAAACACCACCCTTACCAATGGCCTGGCGGTCACAGAAGCCCCACTCCTGCCACAAACTATATTCAAAACAGCTTCATTTGAATTTCTGATACCTCTGAAAAAAGGTTTTTGGTCCTCAGAGCATGTAGGATCACTACTACCACACTTCGGAAACCCCTCAATTTTAAGATTTACTACCATGGCATATATCTCTAGCCTCCCTGTGTTGGTGAGTAGTTGGTGATGATAGTGAGGATCAAGGATTCCTGTCTAAAAACCTGTTCTGTTTTTGCAGTGGATAGCCTGCTGAAATACACTGGCTATGGGAATGCTGCAGGACTGTTGGCGGCCAGGGGCCTCTTGGCTGGAGGAAGAGGAGATAATTGGTACTCAGAGGACGAGGACACAGACACTGAAGAATACAAAAATGCAAAACCAAAGTATAGTATCATGTTTCTTTTCACCTATGTCTGCCTTTGAATTGATTATTTGCCTTTCACTTCCTTTGGCTTTCATTTTCCAAGTATTTCTCTTTTGTGGATTTGGAAGCTTTCTGTTTAATAGTTTTAGAGGCAGTTTCGTAGCTAGTGCCTTAGAGGGTGACTTCAAGTGATTGAGGAAGGATAATATTGCAAGAAATGTTCTGCTGCATGTGCTCATTACCCTCTCCTAAGTATTAAGAGAGGTAGTGTTTTTAGATGTCTACCAACATATATTTAAAGGATATTGTTGCTTATTTTGTGCTCTCCTTTCCATAAGTTGAGATTTTATAAGGTATAACCAAGACCAAGTATTTAAGTTGGTTATTTGATACTTCAGTCTTTCTCAGAAATCTAAATGTAGGTTCCATACATTCTGATATTTCCTCTTGTGTAAAAGCCCTTATGAGTCAATAAAGTAAAGCAACAGGGCACATTACTAGCAAAAGGAAAGAAAACTGGCTCTATGGTAAATTTTAATCAAACACTTATGGAATCATCTTTTAACAGAGGCATTAGTACACTTGGATAGGCAAACCAGAGACTCTATCAAGTTTTCCCTGAGTCAGTGCTTGCAAGTCAAAGACACTAATCATCTCTTATCCCGAAACAAACCACCTCTACTTTTCTACTCCCCTTCCTTTTCATCCCCCTCTCAACTCCAATCCCAGGTAAATTTCTTAGTTTCCACTTATTAGGAGTTATTTGAGCTCAGTTTTCTGGTTTTCATTACTGAATGTTAAAAGGGTGTGCCCTTCCCTATTGATGATGGTATTGACATATGCTGTTTTCTAGCCACAGTCTTCTAGAGTGTGATGTGGATAATGTAGTAGTTGATCAGGGATAGAAAAATCATTATCTGCAACATTAGACCCTTTTTTTAAAAGTATAGCTTGTGCTTTGTTGAAATGAAAATAATAGGTTGTCAGAAGGTAAAAGAAAAGATCATTCCCTAATCAGACAGGACTTATATGGCCTGTATTCTTGGCAAATCAGGTCTGAGTAGGTGGTGTTACTTGTGGCATCCCCAGGGCTATCAGCCTCAACAGGATCTAGGAGTGTGTCCTAGAAGAAAAAGACTTTGGGGGGAAAAAAGCTAGCAGTGGCTCTAAGCAGTAAGTTCTCCAGACTGCCACCATGTAGATGTTATAAGTTGGGCACCTCTATCAGGTATTTGAAGCTAAGATAGAAAAATAATACATTAATCTTTCCATAATTATAGAAGTCATCATTCTAAATTATTATTGCTAGCTCTTGATTTTTCCATCCCATAAACTATATTTCCATATCAGTTTAATATTTTCTGCCTCTCCATTTGAGACATTAAAATATAGCATTTAAGGAGTCTCATATTTTTAAATGAAGGTAGAAATTACATTAGGCATTCATTGTGTCCCAGGGTATGTGGATACAGTCAACTAACATAGAAAACTCTTGAGTACTCATGAGTGGTTGATATCATTGCATCTCAATGTGTGTTGTTGATTTTATTTGGTAAATGACTTGTAAAATGGTATTGGTCATATATCTGGCAAACACAAGAATGCTACTATAATAAGAAAAACCTCAGAAAAAATACAAGAACACACTGGGTCTCTCCCAATAGTACGGGAAATAGAAATACATTACATTATGGAAGTGATACTAGATTTCAGGAAAGCACTGTTTGTTTAAATCAAGGACCATGATGTTTGATATTATTACTGTTTTGGCTTTCTGTCAGAAAGATTCTGTACTTAGGCTTATTACATCCCTGGTTGGAATCTTCTTCAGCCTTTGGACCTGGCCTATATCATTAATAGGAATGGTGCGTTAGTGTGGCCGGAATAGTCACCATTGTGAGATCTTGTTGTGTTTCTTAAACATTGCTCATTGTAAGTATAAATATGTTTTTCTCACATAGCATCACATCTTCCCTCTACAGATACATTTGCATCTGCTTTTTTCTTACATCTTCCCTCTTTCAGGTGCAACAGTGTAGTGGGATGTTTCATTTGTTAATTTAAAATACTTATTAAAATGGTCCCCATGGAAGGGGTGGTGAAAAAGTACTTTGCAAGCAAGACAATCCTTTGTGTTCTGGGCAGTGATGCACAAGCTCAAGGAAAGGAAACTTCTTACCAATCTAGTCAAGTTTATAAAGTCAGCATTTGAAATGATGACTTAGTCCCCTACCCCCTGATTACTCTTCACCAGTCAGTGTTCTCAGGATCACAGTCTGCTTCTCTTATGATGCACTTATTCACAAACAGTGCTAGCATTGGCAAAAGCAGAGAAATTACCCGTCATCCAGTTGACCCTTGTCCCATTGTCAAAAATGTAAGTGGATTCCGATTAATGCACCAAGGTAACCTGTAATCCTTTAGTGGAATCTGAAACTAAGAATTGTATGGAGCTTACATTCAGGCTATGAGAGACAGTTAATATCACAACAGTCCTTTTTGTGTCAAAATAAATGTATTTAACGGACTGGAAATGGCTTTCTGCAATTAACACACTTAGACAAAATACTCATAGAATCAAGTACATGTGCCACACAGGTTTTTGGTGTATGTCTAGCCATGTTTGTAGAAAGTTTTCAGATAAGCTTTGGTCCTGTATCAAAAAGAAACCAAATTTCTAAATTCTGGCTTTATACCCATTTCTTTTATGCCTCTGAGCATGGAGGCCCCTTGACTGAATAGGTGGTATAACATAACTGATTACCGTGGTTTGTACATCATTCCAAACATCAGTTGAAAAATGTGTACGTAATGACATTTGGCTCATTTTAGACCAGTTGCTTTCAGGCTAGGTGTGGTATATAGGAGCCTATGGGTCCAAAAAGGTTTATTTAAAGGGCCACTGTATGGCGGGGTGGAAGGACGGAATGGCCAAGGTGGGCAGAACTCTAGGATGTCCCATTGTATTCTTAATACCCCACACTAGTTCGTAATCACACCCAGCAGATTAAAATTATCTACTAAGCAACTCAGGGGTGTTTCCTTCTTGACCATGTATCTCTCAGCAGTAGCTGTGGCAGCAGCTGTACAGTTTCTTCAGCACAAAAGACTTTATTTTCTTTTGTCAAAATTTTGTTATGCTGCTTTAAGTCAAGTCCCATTATAATTGTGTCCATATGTTGGGGCTATACAAATGAAGAGATAGCTTTGTTTTTAATATTTCTTGAAGTAGATGAACCAGAAACAGGACTTGAAGGTTTTTCTTTTTGCCTAGTTTAGACTGTGATGGTATACTTATGTATAATAGGATGTAACTAGCCTTTCTAGGAACTGAAATTTATTTACTGTAGGCAGTCATGAAACAAAATCTAAATTCAGATCTCTAAAGACCGGAATCAAAAATAAAATTTTGCCACTTCTGCCATGTATACTGGTTAACCAACCTTTGTGATGTTTGCAATCACACCAGTTTTGCACTTTCAAAATTGAGTTCTCTAATTTTTCTTTTGTATTTTAATTTGGGTAAATGGCCAGCAAAAGGTGTGTTACCTGAACCTACAATACTGAGCTTTGCTTCAGGTTTCATTTCCTACAGATTCACAACCATAGTTTCCTATATCCTTTATGTCAAGGATATCACTCTTAATCCAACAGCCCAAGGTAGGAAACATTATAAAGCACTATAATTTAAAAAGGTATTTTGGAGCTTTTTTAACTGCCTAGGTGCAACTTGGTGTATCTATATGTATTCAGTATGTCTATTTATATGGATGATACATGATACTTAATAGTTGATAAATAAGTGAAAGAATTACACATTACCCTATTTCTTTACATTGCTAATAGAATGCAAAAACTTGGATTAAGATGTTGTTTCATAATTTACCCTACTCTTTTAATGTGGAATCAGTTTTATATTTATATGGTAATTCTCAAATTACTTGAGACATTTTCACCTCAGTCACCATTATTAACTGATGTCTCTTCAGAATACCTTGTATCTGAATTTAACCATAGCAAACTCCACGAAACACCTAGTGTTGCGTGGCTTCTTTAGCACATGCAGCTCCATAGTGACGATTTAACTTAATAGACTAACTAACTCACTGGATCCAAGGCCTTCTGGCTGGCTTACTTACCAAGTAGCTCACTTATGCTAATAGTAGCTGGTGTTTATTATCTAATATGTGTCAGGTACTGTTCTAAGAACTTTCCTGATATTATCTCGTTTAATCTTTACATCAACCCTTTGGGCTAGGGTTATCTCATTTAATCTTTACAGCAAACCTTTGGGCTAGGGTTATCCCCATCTTACAGATGAGGAAACTAAAGCTCAGTGGTTTCCAGAACTTGTCTAGGGGACACAGTTCATGAGTGGTCAGGTGGCCTAACTCCAGAGCTGGTGTTTTTTGAGATTTTTGTTGTTGTTTTTGAGGTAGACAAAGCAGGTTTTACTGTGCTTTTCACTTTGCCTTCTTATTTTGGGGGTAAAATATACATAAAATGTACCATTTTAAGCATACATATCTGTGGCATTATATACATTAATGTGCAACCATCACCACCATCCATCTCCAGAACTTTTCATCCTCCCCAACTGAAACTCTGTATCCATTCCCTCTCCCCACAACCCCTGGTAACTACCATTCTACTTTCTTTCTCTATGAATGTGACTAGGAACCTCATATAAGTGGAATCTAAGATCCTCATATAAGAGAAATCATATACTTGTCCTTCTATGACTGAGTTCACTTGGAATGTCTTTAAGACTCATCCATATTGTAGCATGTGTCAAAATTTCCTTCCTTTTTTAGGCTGAATAACATTCTATTTAATGTATTTACCGCATTTTGTTTATCCATTCTTCCATCAGTGGACACCTGGGTTGTTTCCACCTTTTGGCTGTTGTGAATAATGCTGCTATGAACACGAGTGTACAAATATCTGTCCCTGCTTCAAGAGTCCCTGCTTTAACTTCTTTTGGGTATATAGCCAGAAGTGGAATTGCTGGATCATGTG